ACTCGACGTCGTCCACAGACTTGGACTGACGCCTCGTTTGCGGCAATCGGGCCTTTTTCTGCACCACTTTCGTCGGGTTCAACACCGGACCGATGTCTGACGCCATCACTACACTGATCCCTATCTGCAAATTACCATCAAATAAGTTTAGATTTTTAATTGTACATTTAATTTTGTATCAATTTTGTGTTATTGGAAAATTTTAAATCTATATTTAAAGACTATAAGTATGAATAAATTATTCAGAATAATACAACAATATAAGTTTGCCATATATTTGTGCATTTTATTGAGCTTGTGTAGTGATTTTTATTAAATTATTTGAAAACTATTTTTGTATTCTCATATAAATTCATAGAAAGTCATTAAATGGTCAACTCATTGAATATAAATTAAATTCCCTGTGTTTATAGTATTCTTGTGTATTACTGTATTATACAATTGTATAGTTGTATACAACTGGTAGTTATAAGAAATAATCTTAAAAAACATTATTGTTAATTACGACCAAATTGGTAATTATTGTCTCGACATTTAGGTAAATTTTCCATTAATTTTACTACTCATTTAGCTTGTTTACCACATTTAATGTTTGACGTATTCAGTCACTAATAAACATGATTATGGCATGACTTAAGCCATTTATAACTATTTATAACTATTTTAGTGAATATTTATCTCTCATTAGAAGTTGAATTTGAATAGAAATGAATTCAATTCGCGTGTTTTGTCGTACAATTTGGTAGTAAATCAAGAATAATATTATCATTAAAATTCTTGTAGTGATCGTGTGATTTCTATGGCAAACACCGGAATTGTTTTATGGCACATATTTAGTATGATTTGATGTTTAAATTGGATGCAACAGATTACCATGATGCATTATTATTTCCAAAATATGTATGCATTTTACTAACAAAACTATTTATGATATAGTTATTATAAAGGGGGCTTTATATAATAGGGGCATATGAAAAATATAATACTATTATTTTGATTTCAATATCAATTTGACTAATAATGATTATTATATAAAATATTTTTAAATACAGATACAGTTAAACTTTCTATCTTAAACCTTCCATCTTGGATTTCTATCTATCTTGAAGTTAAACTCAAAGTCCCGATTCATTCCATAGAAATCTAATGTCAAATTCCCTCATATTCTGAACCTTCTAACTTATAACTTAAAGTAATTTTTAAAAATTTTACTATTAGATAAGAATATATACTCTTATCTTAAAGCTTTATAAATACCTTAAATGTAAATGAAATAAACTTACTAGTAAATAGATTAAACAAATAAATGTGTATAAATTATACTGTATAATTAAAATAATTACTGGACATATTTAGGTTTAAATGTGTAGAACAAATATCTAATTAAAAACATGAGATATTTTTCAATATATTCTTACTATTTTTGCATCTAACGTAAACTATAAATTTCTAACTGGAAGATTTACTCATTTTGAACATTGTAACTTAAATTTGTTAAACATTTTAGAATCCTTCTACCTTGAAGTCATTTGTCATTCCCCCGACCATTTCAAGATACAAGATTTTTCTGTATATGTAATAATATTTTAATACAGTCGGACTTCTATGCTGTCAACCTTCTATGCTGTCAACGTCTCTATGTTATCAACAAAATCCCAAATACCCACCTCATAGACATAATGTTGAAATGATCTCTATGTTGTCAACTAATCTATGTTATCAACCAAATTCACTGGAACCGTTGTGTTGATAACATAGAAGTCCGATTGTATAGCAAATAAAACCATAAGACAATAAAATAATTAAGCAATTAATTGCTTATGTAGATTTAAGCAACATAAAGCTTACTAAACAAATAATATTGCAATTTAATTAAACGGCAATTTTATTTTAGGAATCATAGAAGATTGATGAAAATATCATAATGTAATATTATATAACTTATAATATGGTACAACAAGCCATCATTATGCAATATGAAGGTATTTAATAACCATATAATTAATTTAATTCTCAAGAAATACTTAATTGTTTTATATAAAAAGTCACATCTCATTATAAAAAATAACTATGTATTTAAATTACAGCTAATACTGTATAATTTTGTATGAATATAGCACGTTTTTCTGGGTTGACGTACAAATATATTATTAATCTAATAATATTATTGGAAATTCTGTTGAAAAACAACATCATTTTTATCTTATTAAAAAAATTAAAAATTCACATAGCGTACATACAATTTAATGCTATGTTATGTAATTATAATTAATATAAACTGTTATTACATAAGAAAATAAAGGGAAATCTAACAAATAAATCAATTATAATGCAAAACCAAATATATTAATAAATTGCATAATAATGCTATAAACAAAAATAATAAGAAACATGGTCAAAAAATATTTATACATCACTGATCTCGTCGTCGACGAAGGCATTGCCCACGGATTTGCTTCTTCGCCGCATTTGTTCACTGTTTGCCTCATTTCGGAGTCGCTTTTGTTTCCGCAGTTTCCGGAGACGAAGCGACTCCCGGAGCGCTCGGGTCAGCGTCTGAAGGGAGCCGAACGTCGACGACCGGACCCGTGGCCTATCGGCCGACGAAGACATCCTAATAGTTGGTCTACTAATCGATGGACTGATAGTATAATTATAATTACAAATAACTCCAACGCGTTTGTCACTAATGTGTGGCCCAACTGTTGAATAGCGATGGTATGTGAGTACAGAATATTGCTATAAAAATATTCCTGTAGTGAAACGCGAATCACACTAACTCTCTATACACTAACTCTCGCACAGAATATTCTGTGACAGAGAATTTGTGGGAAAAAATGCTTTTAGTTATCACTACTATATTAGACACTATATTCTGATAAATGATTAGACTTCAGGCGCAAAGAGCACACACACCATAACCATAGCATACCATACCTTACGCTGTACTAGACGTCTATAAAAGCGATATATAAATGTGTAGTCGATTGGGTCAGTCGTATTGTCGATGTCTATTATAACAAGTGGATGGGAAGGGAGACTCAATGACAGGCGGCCCCAAACTCTGTGCTTTCACTCAATATCCAGGGCTGGTATACATGAGTGGAAATGTGTGCTAGAATTTTAAGTGAATATTCTGTGTGTAAACTTTATTACATGTTATTTTGGATATTATTAATGTGGGAATGAAGTGAATTGTATGTCAGAGAGTGGGAGAGAGAAAGAGAGAGGTGATGTTGCGTTGAAAATTGATGTACAGATCACTATTCAGTATATTGTTATCTGTATTTAAGTGTATGTATACTTGTGTTAAGCTATTTTTAGTCTGGCTTTTTGTTACATAAGGTTTTATTATTAGTAAAACCTTTTCTCATTTCATACCAAATGAAGTTATTTTCACGATTTGTCTCATTATTTGATTTATTTGCAATCATTGAGTTAATTAACAAAAAACTGTTTTCAAGCAAAGACACGGCTTTTAGTTATCCATTAATTTTATTTTTATAATTTTTTATTTATAAGAAGACTACTGACAAATTGGCAATTTTACTTTTAATTATAATTTTAATAACTTAATTAAATAATATTTTTTAATATTAATAAAAATATAACATTTTGAAAATTATTTTTTTTAAATAAAATAATCTGCTTTAATTAATTTGTTTAAAAGTCAGTTATTTGAAAATTTAGCTAATAACTTAAAATAATTTATTTTTTTGGTGTTATTTAATATAAATACTAAATATTTATTTAAACAATAAAATAAATAATTTTTAAATATTTTTGCACATTTATTGATTATGTAAAGGTAAAGTGGTAAAATACCTAAAAATTAAAATTTCATTTATATCAGTAATAAAATTTATTTATTTTTAAATCTTAAAATAATTACCATAACCTAATAAGTGCACACAAATAATAAAACTGCCAACAATTATACACACAATACTGTAAACACATTCCCAGAATATATTGGACATCAATAAGTGACCCAAAGTAACCAAATTTAGTCCCCATTTAAGCCACAATCACTACAACATTGTCTTCGAAATGTAGTCACTATACGCACAATAATGAGCTTTTAATAAATTGTAACTTTTTATAAATTGTTTGAAAATTAATAAAATTATTAAAAGTTATCCAAAAACAACTTATTTTTTACAAATATATACAATATATCTTTCGTTATTAAATGAGAGAGAGAGAGAGAGAGAGA